GGTCAATGAACTCTAACATTGACCTTCCTTAGGGTGGTAGAAATTGGAAATTTGTGAAAATAAGTATTTTATCAGCAAGATTGCATACTTCTACTCCCTCTCTTTACAGCATGTGGTAGTCCTCAACTATCCTCATGCTTTTCACTAAATATGTATTTCTTGATTCTCAGATAAGAAGGTGCTAATTTTGCATGATATTATCTTTCTGTCTCACTCTTGTTGGACGTGGAGCTGAACCCCAGAGCGATGGTCATCTGTTTTCCTTTATTTTACCAACCCTCTCCTCCTGCCAGGGTCCCTAGCTGGGGCTGGCTGGCTGTGATAACAGAGTGCCATTACAGGTGTCGGCTGGATCATACCTGTTCTTGGATCAGGGAAGGGCTCAGGTGTGTGGGGGGTAACCAAAGCCTGAGAGTTAGGGCAAAGTAAGTTCCTTCAGAACATGGTGTCGTACCAAGTCACAAAGTCCATAATGAGATGATCTCCCATCAGAAGACATCAAATGTCTTCTTTGGTTAAGAATAAAGCCTTTTTTTAAAATTGCATTATTTAAGAAATACATAATTAAGAAAGCATAATTAACAGCATACTGTATCACAGTGCATTAAAATTATAACAGCTTCTCAGATGTCACAGTGTTTAAAACTTCAACAGTGTTTCCGATCTATTTTGAATCTTTGTCCATCACATTCATTTACCAGATACACTGGCTTATCGCTTCCCTAGTAGGTTGTAATTTCAGCTGTTTACGGAATACTTTCTTGTGCAATTTGTGCTCCTGCAAGCACTTTTTGCCAGGCAAATGCCACAGGAGCCAGCCCGTGTCCTCCTGGGAGCCCTCCCAGGCACGCAGCCCCCGACATCCTGCAGCCTCAGGACTTGGGGCTGCAAGTGGTCCATGCCAGCGTGACTGCAGTTAGGTCAATTAGCGAGGCTGACCTAAGTCCTGAAAACTGGCTGAAAAGCTGCTTCCTAGCATTTAGCTGGGGAGCAGGAAAACATATTTCGTGGCTGCTGAAAGCTGTTAAATACCTGCTTTTAATAGGACTAATTTAAACCAACAAACATTTCTTTGGATTGTGCATTTCTTTCAGTGGCCCAATTAACGTAGTAATGAATGGAGGCACCACCGGATTGTGTTTACTCTGCAGCACCACGTTAGCAACATTTTGGTCCTGCTCACGAGGCTGTAAAATGCTTTGTTCCTCGCAGCATAAACACTATTATACTACTATTAGGGTTGGATTCACTTACCCTTAAGCAAACGTAAATACTCTCGCGTTTGGCACCGCCCCAGTAACAGACAGGAGCTGAGGAATGCTGCCACAGTGCGCACTCGGGGGTTCCTGGTGAGGGGGGGAACTTTGTCAGAATTGTTCCAGATTCACTAGTCTGGGGGTGTGGGCACAGAGGAGAGCTGAAAAGGCCAGGGCCAGCAGCACTGACTGTGAGCAGTTGTTCTCCGATGCAGGAGCAACGCTGGATCCTTCAGTGGAGACGAGACCTTAGTCATGCTACTAAACTCCGTTCAAACGCTAAATGTGTTGAAGGCTTCCGTACAGTTTGGGAGCAGGTTCCTTGAAGAAATTCATGGTATTTCCTGGTTCCAGACAGGCTGAAAAACACTGTGAGAATGTGGTGGCTTTTGGTATGTCCATTTATGGGCATGAATCAAAGGAACTGCAGGGAGGAAAAAAAGTGGAAAATGAGAGGAAAAATAAGTCAACTGAGCTACTTCCTCTCTCGGATTCTTCTTGGGTTTGGGGCAAAGCCTTACACTGGTATTTCATCCCAACTTCTCCCTGCTAACTACTTCCATATGTAGGCATAGTATAACATCAGTTAAAGCCACATTTAAGCACTGTTTTTAAAGAACTCAGGTTTTTGGTGGTAGGGTCCAAAGTCAGAATGGCTGAATTATTATATGTATAAATAAGAATATTACTGCTCCTTCTTACATTTAATATCCTTTTTGGTGCACTGGTAAGTGTGCTTTCCTCAAGTCCAACGTCTGAAAAAAAACTATGCTACATAAAAAAAAAATACAAACTATGTAGTTAAGAGTATGCTGTTTCTAGCAGTGTCCAAAAGTCAGTTTTCTCAGCTGAGTCCCCGCCTTTGTGAGACAAACAACTGGATACTGTTCAAAGACTTATTTGTTCCTGTGTGGTTACGGATCATTAAAAGTGGCTCATTCTTGAAGAGTTTCTTAACTGGTGTCTTTTGGATGTTTCTTAGCTCTGAGGAATCTGACAAATTTCCATCTGGAGAGTAGAGCCTATTTCATATGAAAGGGCTATAATCCGTGTCTGTTGTTCACATCTGTATTGTGTTAGAAAGCTAAGCTGCAAATCCATGCAAAAGTGTTATGGTACAAAAATCTGAAATACGATGGCTTAGAGTTATTTCACAAATTATTTGATACTCCAAGCTCCAGTCACCTTGAATTCCAATTTAATGATTAATTACCATCTACTAAATGAGTAATGACTTTACAGTTGTCCTTTACCAACTATATTATTAGTATTGCTGGAGATTCATTTTAAGGAGCTAGTAATTTGAATGAATATACATTCATATATGAATAAAACATTTAAAAGTACAGCAGCAAACCTCCACAACAGGATTTTTCTGAGGATACAAATATCCGAAAAACAACTTTCAAAAAAAGATAGTTTGGAAGGAATGCGAACAAATGTTCTCTCCCACATAAATGACTTTGGACTTTTGAATTCAAGTTTTTATTCTTGCGTCTATGCATCTTGGGCACGAAGAATGAAATCAGGAAACACCTTTACGGTTGAAAGGCCCACGTTTTAACCATCATTTAAGATGCCACAAATTCCACACAAGTGCTTCTTCTTCCCAGGATACCTTTGAAAGAGAGTCTTACAAACAGTATGTAGTCTACCCACACCTCTAGGAGACCTTACAACAAACTATTTGAATTTTTTTACCTTCCAAAATAAAACTTTCAGAGGTTTAACACCTATGAAAATGTGCAAAATGCACACTTCTGTCAGAGGGCTACATGTGTTCCTGGAAAAAAAAAAAGCAGTGATAACTGAGATTTATGATCCTTGATATACAAGAGCAACAGCTCGCTAAATAGATTTTGTGTATGCGGAAAACTTCCTTATTTTAATTCATGGTGTCAAGGGCAAACCACCACTAAAATGTTCTGACAGCAGGCCTCTTCCATCCTTCTCCACTGGGCTGTGAAGCAGCATGGTAATTTGTCAAGGCAAAGGCAAAAGTTCTTCAAGGACAGAGTTATTAATGAATGGGCTTGAGCAGCACCATAAACACCCCGTCTCTTACGGGCATTCATCCCAGCATGTCAGGTGTATTGTGCTTCTTTCTGTTCTTCTGATCCTGAGAGCTTCTGTTGTGATGGCTACGAATGAAGTCCATGTCCATCCTGTATTTGCTGGAGCTAGAAGTGACAGCTTTCTTGTTGTTTGGGGGTGGAGTCACAATAGTGGTCGGACAATCAGTCTTTGTGGTTGTACGAGCGTTTGAAGTGTTTCCAGGGTGAACTGAATGGCCACATCACATTCATAACCTGAACAAGAAAAAATCAAAAGAAAAAAAAAAAGGAAAGAAAAGTTGCCAGGAGAATCTCAGGAGGGTGAGAGCCAGAGCCTGCCCCAAACTATTTCATACGGGACACAGAAAGCCACTTCCTCATGCCAGGAGAATTCCTCCTATTTTTTAGGGGAAGGGGAAATGCTTCCATAGCCTTTTGCAAAGCCTGGTGAGGCCACTGGCAAGACTCCCATTGAGTCTCATTAGTTTAGGGCTCTGCTGTCCATCATTGGTCACAGATGGTGTTACACCGATTTGCTGCTAATGCTAGCTGAAATCAATGGGATTGGAAGGTGCTCAGGAAGGATGGACATTTTTGTA